CAGGAGGGTCGGTGTAATGCACTACCAAAACGCCCGTAACTAAGAAACAAATGCTAATTCGATGATGCCGGCTGGCACAATGATTCACTATGAATGTAGGCCGCACCCCCTAGCGGCAGAAGTTCGTACTACATCCGGTTCGCCCTCTATTGACACAGTCTTGAAACTTTCCGATCGCACTTCGTACATGGGCTTCAAATGAATAATAACAATTTACAAAAAGGTTACACAAGGCTTAATAACAACCACGAATATAGATCACAATTAAGGAACGTTATTCGTTGCGAAGGTAAACATGGAAATTACAAGAAGATACTAGACTGCGGGGCAATCATCGTGAAAGTGTTGTGACGCATTTGAATAGCACTGAAAATATCAAAATAAATTAATTTGACTGAAGTAGAGAAACAACACGGATTGTAATCAGGATTTCTCGTTAAGCAGGCAAATGATTTATTTCAGTAATAGCGCGCCGAGAAGGTTAGGGCGTCTTCCACGACGAGGCAATAATCCGAACACAGAACTTACAGAGATCGTTAATCTGATAGCCTATCAGAGGTCATTAAATGACCTGCGATAAAAGCGAATGAGTCCAGACACTCGTTGCAACCTGAAATCGATACCGAGCACGTCGCCGGGGACGACAACACGTTGGAACGTTTAATATGCCGTAGTCCGTCAGAGTAAAAACAAAATTATGTTTAATAGATACAAGAAAAGAAACAGAAATCATAAATATTTCGAGCGTCAGAATAGAATTAAGAGCATTAAGCGTTTAGGATAAAATATTCCCATCATTCTTTGTTAGTCGGCTGACATAAATTGTTTTCTAAAATATTAAGCGTTTATGACAAACAATTAATATTTCAGGAAACAATTATCAGTTGACTAATAAGAAAGATCGGAACTGATGGTTTTTAAAAACATGGGTGCAAGAACTACGTAGACATATCAAACCTGAAGATGGTTACATGAGCCCGAAACATGTAGTTCGATTAAGACTAAGAAAGTGTGTGTAAAACAACTGATTGTCACAGTCAATCAAGACATCATTCCAGGTTGTAGAAGGTACAATACTGCTTTGTATAAAGTAGCTCTGTATTCCAATACGTCCACTAACAAATGCGTTTAAATTCAATAAAAAGTAATGCGATGTTTTCCCAGCTCTCGTAAACTTTATCAAGAAACAGTCTTCGCCTTTGACTTCAGTATTCACATTATCCACTCGAAGTAATCTATAAGAAACGCAACTGATCTCAGTGGCGTCCAGAGTTTCATAGACCAATGCCAGAACGCGAGAAAAAGTGGAACATTAGCTCCAAGCATTATTAATCTCGGCACTATATGGAGATAAGTGGTTAGTTTCACGGCCAGTTTACCCTCCAGGAAAGAACTCCTGCACTTAATGGTTACTAGGCTCGAAGGCGAGTCTAGCGTGATCTTCCAAAGAAACGTTACTATTCTTCAGGCTAATTTATCGTAATAATCTCGTATATTAAAATACTATTAAATGTGTGAGAAGCCTTGACTTTCCGTATTTTCCTACTCCCCTGAATTATGCAATCCATAGTTCTCAAACCAGATGTTCGGATACCCCAGAGAGGTTGGAAGTTCCTCGAC